TCAGAAAAAATTTATATTCTAACTTGCTGAAATGAAAAAAAATTTTAGTAGATAGAACTGCACTGTTCTCTAATAATCCAGAAGAAGGTTTTAAACAACGTAAAAGTTCAGATAAACTTAATGTTTTGAAAAAAAAAATTTGCAAATGGAGATATCCAATACATCACTTTTGTATACATGAGTTTCATCTTTAAAGTTTGTATGATATATATTATTACAATATTTATTTTAAATTGTCATAAACATTTTCAATGTTTCTTATACATTGTTTCTTTTTAGATAAAACAGTTATCATTAATTGGCGATAAAAATCTAGCTGATACAATTAAAAATATTTTGCTCTTGTAAGTAATTAGCAAAAGTTTGAGTTTTAACATTTATGTTTGACAGTAGAGCATTTATCTTCTTTTTTATATATGTAGACTGCCAACAGACACTATTTTGTCAGAATACAGCATGAATTGTCTAAAGAAGAAAAAAAGTTTAAAGAGTTGACAAGTCTATGTAACGCTGTCACTGGTGTTCTTATTAGCTTATTGTGTTTGATTAATTAAAAATTAAAAATGATGTTTTAAAAAAAAAAAAATTTTAGGCTCTGGAACATGACATGTATTCAAGTGTATGTATGACATATATATTTTATTTTATGATTTTATTGAAACATGTTTTGTTGTTTTTATTAGAAGCTGCTTTAAAGTCAAATAAAAACTTAACCAAAATGGATGCTATCCAACTTATTGGGAGAGTAGTTAGGCATTCTTCTGACCGAATAAAGAAAACATCGACTAATATGGATTTCGATCAATGTTGGCTTAATTAACTGTTGTATTTTTTTTCCATTTTTAAGCAATTTTCTTCTATTTAAAATGCACTATCGATTATATTCTACAGTACCTATTAGTTTTTAATTTGAAAAATTTAACTTTTTTGTTTGAAAAATTATTCTTAATTTTTATAAAGTTATTAATTTATTTTAAATATATCAAATTACACTTTATTTACATTGATTTCCTTTTATAACTTCCCTTGCCTAGATTAAGGCAAATCTAAGGTGTGTGTTGTAAATCATTGCATTTTTATATAACTTTTAAAAGAATGTCTTGGTAAAATTCAAACGTCTCTAGGACGTCTGAAAAAGACGTCCTTAAGTCATTCATATGAGACCAGCCAGAGACGTCTCTAGAACGTCTGCAAAAAACGTCTCTAGGACGTCTTTAAAAAACGTCTTTTGGACGTCCGGAATGGACGTCCTCAAGCCTTTCATTTGAGACCAACTAAGGATGTCTTACGGACGAGACTTAAGACGTCTTACGGACGTTCTTAGGACGTCAAAATGCCCGCTGGGTATTGATCACTCTTAAACAGACAAGAGTTGTATTTCCAGCAGTATACAACATTTATTAATATATATATATATATATATATATATATATATATATATATATATATATATATATATATATATATATATATATATATATATATATGTATATATAGATATATAGATATATATATATATATATATATATATATATATATATATATATATATGTATATATAGATATATAGATATATATATATATATATATATATATATATATATATATATATATATATATATAAATATGTATATATATATTTCTAGGAAGTCTGAAAGTACAAATTTAACCATTCACGTAATGCAAATACTGATACTTGAAAATATCAGAAAAATTAAAGTTAATATCTCACTAGTTTAATTACATTATACGCACCTGTATACTGTTATCATATTGTGTTGTAAAATATAATTTAAAGTGAGTATAAAAAAGCATTTAAATATCGTATTAATAAATAAGGCTTAAAAACCAATAATAAAGATATTTAATTAATTTTTTTTTTACAAATATTCATACTTGGTATGCAGAAATAAGCTGTACTGCACCTCCAAATACAATTCCAATAAATATACGAAATAAAAAGTCCTCATACCCTAAATAAAACAAATATAAAACAAAGAAAAATTGCAAATGCAGGGATAAAAGATAAAAAATATTATTATAAACGTAATAAAAATATATTACCATTTATAATGCCCATAATTATAATCCAACTTAAAATAAAAAAACTAAGGTCTATTCAATATAATGCTAAAAAATGTTAATCAAATAGTAATTTATATTTTGCCAATATGAGTATTTTCTCCAAAATTTAAAATAAATTATATCTTTGTTTCTTTATTCTCAAAATGTCTCTCTATTTTCAAAATATTGATGTAAAATAGTTTACATGGTTTAAAATGCAGAGCGTACTTAGTTTTATTTTAATCTTTTTTTATTTAGATTCATGTAAATATCTATAACTGCAGTAGCAATTAAATATAAGTTGTCAAGACATCAGTGGTGGAAAGAAACGAATTACATTTACTCGCGTTACTTTAATTGAGTAGTTTTTTGTGAACTTTTACTTTATTTTTTAATGTGTACTTTTACTTTTAGTTAAGAATATATTTTTTAATGTATTGTATTTTGCTACATTTTAACTCGTATACGTTACTGAAAAAAATGCTTTGAATAAAAAAAAAAAGTAAAAAAATTATTGCGTATTAGTTACTAATACGCAATAATTACTAATAATAAGTAATTATTTTCACCAGCACCGGCTCGAGGAATTCCAGCGTTCAAATTGCGCCCTTAATGAATTATGCGTTATTATAAACTATAAATCATTTATATATTAAATTTAACAGGAAAAAATTTAAACTTTATACATAACTAAAAATTATTTTTTCAAGCCTTTAAAACGGCAAAGTATTTAAATCATTTCGGTTATGTCTAATTGTGTTGCTATTTCATTTTCCATGGACATTATAGCTAAGTTATTCAATCATTTGTCACTCATAGTAGATCGTAAAAAGTTTTTTATTAGCTTTAATTTGCTAAAACTTCTCTCACCACTTGCAACAGTAATTGATACGGTAAGGATTATTTTTAATGAAACCCAAATATTTGCAACCCACTAGATTTTATAAAGTTTAAGATATTTAGAGGACGTCAAAGAATATTTTTAAGCAAAAAGGGTGGATGCCAATTTTAATTCTGCGCTATTATTATTGCAATTATTTTCCATTTTTAATTTCAGAGCTTTGCAAAACTTAAGTAAGTCATCATCCGAAGGTAATTTCTTCAGATTATATATTATACCCCAGGTTTGGTGAAATTCATTCAGTTGTTGAAATCTTTCTTGAAGAGATGCTATGGCATTATCTAAAATAACATTAAAGACGTTGCTCTTAAAATTGTTCTTTAGACTTACTACAATCTCATTTTTACCTTCATAAGCAAACATATGTTTTTTATGGCGCAACCTTTTTTCAATAAAAATTGGTTCAACTTCCAAAGATTTCAGTAGAATACTTTCAAAACCAGTTATCCTATATTTTGTCACAAATACTGTAAATGATTTCATAAGTAAAACTACAGAGCCTAAATCCATGGCTGCAGATTGCTAACAATATTTGCGCGATATAAAATATTGCACTAGGTAACAAGCATTACCAAAAAATAAAAAGTGCTTATCTGTTCAGATAATGTATAAGCTTCGTGTTTAATGGAAATATCAGAAGAGTCTGTTTTACTCAAAGTTACTAAAGCATCGTAAATTTCCACTATTTGGTACCGTATTGGTTTTAAACATTCAACTCGACTTTCCCATCGAGTTTCACAAAGAGGTTTAACTGTAAAATTGTATACATGATCTTTCAGTATGTTCCATCTCAATACTGAAGCTGAAAATAGTGTATATATTCGTTTGACAATAAACCGAAAAATGATATAGACTTGGTGCAACATGTTGAAGAGTAGCTTTTAACTAAATTAAGAGAGTGACATCCACAAGCCATAAAAATATTTTAGTATAATTTTAGACTAGACTTTATATTAAGATTTGCTGAAATATCAACAAATCTTAATGTAAAGGGGAGTTGTTTAGTATGGCTGACATCAGGGGTCCAGTCTAGAAATATGCTAAAATATTTTGCATCTCTAGCTGTCTTAAAATATTGTCTTTAATTCCTAATGCCAATAAAGAAATTAACTCGTTTTGAATTGTTTTTCCGCAATAAGTTACTGAGATTCTTTAGAAGAAATGAGTCGTAAATGCTCGTTTAAGGTTGTGTCGTATTTGCTCAACACTTCCATTAAACCCCAAAATTTTGTATTTTTAGAAATGTCTGAATATGTCTGATGAACCACGAAAAGGTAAGTTATTTTTTGATAGGTACAAAATTATGTTGCACATGCAATTTAACACAAGGGGCCAGTGATCTGATCAAGGGGCCAGTGAATGAAAAATGAGAGTCAATTGACTCTCATTTTTCATTACTTGCAAGTAATGAAAATTTTTTTATCGCATTATTTATTTAAGAAACACTCACACTTTAAAAAAATACTAAATTATAATAATTATAAATATATATACTAAAAAAAATAGACCATGTTGTTTATATTTTTTATACGACAGATTTGTTACCTGAGAATGGCTGTTAAAAAAGTAACGCGGTAACGTTTACTATGAGTAGATTTTTAATCAGCTACTTTTTACTTTTACTTGAGTAAACTTATCAACCGGTAGCGTTTACCTGTATTTAAGTAAAATTTCACTTAAGGGGTCATCCATAAAGAACGTCACGCTACTAGAGGGAGGGGGGCATAACTTTGTGACAATTTGTGAGTAGGGGAGAGGGAGTTTGATAAATGTGGCGTCACAAATATTATTCATCATGACGGTTTATTTTCTACTTATTTAATCATTCAATTAAAGCAGTGTTTCAGATTGTTAAAAATTTTATTTAAACTTCTTATGTTATGCGTATCGCCGTATTTTCAATAGTTTTAAATAGTTTAAAAAGTTCGCAAAAACTTCAAGTTTCTGAAGACTTTAAAGCGCAGCGATGCAAAATCATTAAATTAAGAACATATAAATCAAGTTTGGAATTCTAACTCATTTCTATAAATAAGTGCAAATGTGTTGCAGGTAATTCATAATATAGATGACATATAAGATAGACAAAGGACAGTTATACGCGTCACTTTAAGATGCCTATGTTAAAGCATATTCACAGATTTTGAAACAAGATTGTCAAAAGGAAGTTAATGATATTTGGAGTAAGGTGAAATTTGATGATAATCTTTCTGCAAAAATAGATTCCCTGTTAAGAAAATATGACGCTCTATTCAAAAAGAAAAAAGGTAGGCTAATGAGTTTCTGGACAAATCAATCATTGCGACATGACGATGCGAAAACTATACCTCGTAAATCATCGGCCCCGGATGTTATAGCAAAATTACCAGATACTGTTGTAGAGGGTAATAAACGTGAAGCTTCTTCTTTTGAATGTTCTATAATAAGTTCATCAACGTCTGGTTCTGAAGATGTAGAAAATATAAAACAAAAGTTCAAGATGAACTAAAAGTTTAAATTGATGTTATCAAGAGTGACTTAGTAGAACTACATAAAAGAAAAGACATTTTTTTACGAATGATCAAGAAGTAGAGCTTATTGAGAAAAAAAGAAAAGTAGATATGTTGGGGAAAAGTTTGTTAAAAAAAAGAAAGAACAAGCAAGACAGATAAAAACTTGAGAAAAAAAAAAAGAGAAACTCTAACTAAAATAAGTGCAGAGAATCCTGGAGTTTGTGATGCTTTGAAAGCAAAAGATAAAACAGGCCAACCTTCTGTTGAAATTTTCAACCACTTTTCCTGAAAGCGATTGTTGATATTGCTTTACGTGGATCAGCTGCACAAGAAAGACGACAAAGTGATATGTATTGCAGTATTAAAACACTAGATGAATTTACTAAGCAACTAAATGTCACGACGAAGTTCAACTTTTGAAGGCAAAAGAAACATATCAACAGTACCAGTCAAATTGATCCGATCTCAGAATGAGTCACACTCCAAGCACATCGATGGAAAATTTTGTACAGCAACCTTGAGACATCTGGAAGAGTTGTCGTCTATACTGGGACAAAAAGAAGTTTGTTTTATTAGCCAAGATGACGAAGCGCGAGTTTCGTGGAATAAAGGCTACAAACACACAAGCTCGATTGCTTATGCACATTGAATATCGCATCAATTTGCCAGACCACGATTGGATTGTTGAAGCAAGACATAAGCTTATTCCATCAGTATATGCTGGAGTTTGCATTAAAAAATATGGACTTGGTAAACCAAACGCTGTTACTTATTCAGGTCCAACTTATATTGCAATCTGATCATTGATTCGTCTTCTTCTGCTCTCGCTCATGGTTTAGAATTTGAGAGGTTGTTACAGACGAATAGAATAGACGAATTTGATGCAATAACAAAAGACGGCAGAGAAAAGAAAATTAAGTTTGTTGTTATCTTCACGGTGGATGGAGGACCAGATGAAAATCCACGTTATCAAAAAGCCATAAATGTTGCTATCCATCCTTTTGCTAAAAATAATCTAGACGCCTTATTTATTGCAACCAATGCGCCAGGTAGAAGTGCTTTCAATAGAGTGAAACGTCAAATGGCTACATTGAGCAGAGGACTTTCTGGTATTATGTTGCCTCTTGAACGTTATGGTAGCCATCTCGATTCACAGGGCAGAACAATTGATGATTATTTGGAGAGAAGAAATTTCAAGTATGTTGGACAAACATTGGCTGAAATATGGTCACAAATTATTATTGACCAGTTTCCAACAGTTGCCAAGTTTTTTGATCCAGAGACATCTAGCTAGATGCAGAAGAATCGACAATTAAAGATATAAAATGGTTTTTTGAAAACGTCTGCACAAGTCAGCACTTTACTCAAATTGTCATGATGTAAACTGTTGCTTAAAATTAGAAGCTCATATTTCCATGTTGTTCCTTCACGATTCTTATGTCTTCCAATTCGAGTTATTCAAACAAGTAATGGTCTTTAAGCTGACAAAAAAGAAGGCAGTGAATCTCATAAGTTTCCATCACTTTTTATTTCACATAGTGTTAAAATAGATGATATAATGGCAAGATCGGCAGGAAGTTTTCAAGTTTACCATTATGATCTCTTTTGTTTATCAATACAGACTTGTCTATTTAATCGAATATGCAAAGTTTGCCATCTCTATTTGGCTTCTCAAGCCAAAACATGTTGGGTTGCACAAACATTGCGATAAAGGAAATACTGTTTTTGAGAAAACTTAAACAAGGCTTATCAAGCCAAAAGAGTAGCCGCTAGAAGACAAGTCTTAATAATACTAAATAATTTATTTAGTATTATTAAGACTTGAACCTTAGAAAGACCTTTTTAAGACCTGTCATTTTATTTATATTTTTGCTCGCGGGTTTATAAAAACTCAAATAGTGTAATATTATTATTATTTCCTTTAAAAATAAATACAATATCTAGGTATTTATGAGTTCTTACAAAAACCCGCAAAAGATTTCTTTAGCCGTATCGACTTTATACAATTTCAAAAACTTTATATAAACAAAAAAAAAAAAAAAATCAA